CAGGTGTACCAGGTGTACCAGAAGATCCAGGAGTACCAGGCGTTCCAGGTGTTCCAGGTGAACCAGGAGTACCAGGTGAGCCGGGTGTACCAGGTGTTCCCGGTGATCCCGGTTGTCCGTTAGGATCCCCAGGTTGTCCCGGCTGTCCATTAGGGTCTCCGGGTTGTCCAGGCTGACCATTAGGATCGCCGGGTCGTCCCGGCTGACCATTAGGGTCTCCAGGTTGTCCGGGGCTACCCGTATCACCATCCCATTGTCCGGCATTATCTCCCGTATCACCATTCCATTGTCCGCTATTATCTCCCGCATCTCCATTCCATTGTCCACCGTTATCTCCGTTCCATTGTCCACTATTATCGTTACTGCCGGCGCCCGATGGTAAGCCCGCCTTACAATCTTCTCGGGTTACCGCCCAAGCATGATTACACCCTTGAATCTGTGGATCCCAAACAGTTCCAACCCCGCACGTGAACTCGTATTTACTAAACATTCCAGATCCCTCGTCGACGCATCTGTAGAACTTCTTGCAGTCATTCGGATCAGAAAGGAATCCCTCCTGCGTGCATGTAGTTCCGCCATTATCGTTATTTGATTGCGTACTCGTCGATGTGCCGGCGGTGGTCTGGTAAGACGTTGACGGTCGTCCAGTAGTCGTTTGGTAAGAAGTTGTCGTCCTCTGAGTTGTAGTCGTGGTGGACGTCGTGGTGGACGGCGTGGTGGACGTCGTGGTCGTGGCAGTCGACGCCGTCGTCCATTGCGTGGAATCTGTCTCCGACGAATCGGGAATACTCGAGTCGACCTCGTTCTCGTTTCCCCCGCACTCCGGTCGTCCGCTATCGTTCGGGTGAGTACAAATGTCTCCTCTGTTCGCCGAGAACACCGTGTCGACTCCGCACTCGAACCTAAACTTGGTCAACGGGCTGCCGTTCCCCCAATCGACGCATCTGTAGTAGACCCTGCAGTCGCGAGGATCGGGATGGTACCCCTCTTCCGTGCACACGAACCCATTGTCGTTCTGCCGGTACTGGTTTTGGAAGTAATCGTAGCGGTCTGGAAAAGCAGAAGAACGTTCCCCGTGTAAATCGCGGATGGAAGACGTTTAATGCTCTCAGGTTGGCCCGCGGCATTCGACCACCGCGGTATTCGCGTTACGTTAACGGCGACCGTTTATCAAAGATGGCGATAAACGTGCGGGTACTTTCGCAGGGGAAGATGGCGGCAGAACCTCCGCGCGGAGATTCATTCTGTTAGATACAGCACCACACGGGGAATATTTCCCCGGCGAAGAATATTCTCCGATGAGTTCAAGGCTGTCCGTCTCGGACGAAACCAGTTTGACGACGGTGGCAGCAGCAGCAACAACAACAACGTTAGTACAACAACAACGCGGCGCAGACGGCGGCGGGTGAAGCGAAAATATTAGCGGCGTTCCATGAAATCAGTAACCACGTCACGCGTCCCACCGAGCAGGGCTCTAAATGGACGTGTCAGGAAAATAGATTGTTCAGAGGTATTCCTTAAAAAGAGCCATTCAGTCTGCATCTTTGGCGTAAGTTGAACCTCGTACCATGAATATTCCAGGACACATTTCTACATGGGAATCGGCGAGAACGCGATCTTACCAGCCTCCGTGTGCGTCGCCAAGCCCAGCGCTATTAGAACTCCTAGTGCGCGCAGTCCAGACCACATGGCTCGAATCTCGCTCGTCTGAAAACAGAGGAAAACGATTCAATCGTATCGCATCGGTCACGCTATGCCGGATCAATCGAAGGTTCGTTAAAAGTTCGTTGCGTTAAGTTCGTCGAGTCGCCCGACGGGTGAACCGGTGGCCGATCATCGGCCGGTATCCCAAACCTATCATCTTAACGGGATAATACAACGTGACGTAACCCGCATTGTTTTCTGGGACAGGAGGCGTGGATTTCCACACTTGAGAATTTCGCGTGAATCGGCCGAAGATAAGCAGCCGCACAGTTACTCCTACGTTCTGGTTGGCCCGCGTCCAATCTTCCCCGTCACAAGGATCCTAACTGTCGGCTCCCCTGACCTTGCTTCGGAACGATGCCCGCGCGATCGGCGCTCAAGGATCAAACCGATTCCCGTTCGTGGCCTCGATTTCCCGGCCGTTCCACGATCGATAGACGAGCAGACGTGGATCGTCGAACGAAACACCGTGGTTTATCGGTCTGTACAGTTACGTTAGAATTGATTTCCGACACGCCTTTAATGATCCGACTTGATGGGTTCTTTTAGCGAAACCGTAAATCAGCGATCCCGTGAGCGGAATGAAGAGCCCGACGTGTACGCTGAATGAGTAAGAGTCTAACGTCCCGCGAATTCCATTGTGTCTGGCTTCTAGTACACGGTTTAACGATCGCCGACGTGGATAAGTGTATCGATCGCCGCGCGCGACGGTGAGTATCGATCTCCGAAGGGTCCTCCCTTCTAGGCGGGTACATCCAACAAGCTCGTCGATCTTTGTTAGAAAATATCATTGCGCGGAGGTAATCTTATTGCTCATCTGAGACGATATCGCGCAGGACCCGCAACCGCTGCCGCCGTCGCGCCGCGAGTCCACAATTCCTCCGCCTTTATCGTGATGAAGCACGGAAAAAGGGCTAGCAGGGATACCCTCTACCTTCGGCCTGCACCTTGATTTGCGATCTACGCCCACACGCGGAAATCCTGCGCGCTCGGTGTCCCACAGGCGCGGTTCCACGGATTTCAATCCGCGCACGGCGAAGAGAGATTACTTTCGCTTGAAACCTCGCGGGACGGCTGCCGATAACTTGCCAATCTCGGAATGTTATCAGATGCAGTCTCGCTGAGCTCGGTATTTAAGAAACATTTCCCGTTTCAGCCCCGCGAACGTATCTTCCTCGCAGACAGCCGGAATTCGGCTGGAGAGATGATTCACTGGACACCGGACAACGTCGGGGCTCGCGGAACCCGGGCCATTCGTCAGTTCCGCGTGTTATATGGACCTATTACTCTCCGGGACCGGATGCACCGGATCCAGTGCCATAAATATCATCGGCGGCGGCGCAACCTCGTAACGAATTGCGCGATTCACGACCTATGACTGCGGACGAGATGCGTGTACATAGCCGTCGAAAGGAGCAAGGATAAATCCTGTCGATCCGAAAGAAGCGAGGGAAAGAGAGAGGAAAGTCGAAATGCATGCGGGTAAGCGTCGGGTAGGGGTAGCTCGGCGAAAAGTCTGAATAGAACCGGACCACGGCCTCCTCTACGATCCTTTCTCCTCTTAGCTCGAGTGAAAAGAGGATTGCATGAACGGCGTGTGACATCATGCCGGGAATGCGGCTTCCTCGGCTCGCTGTCCCGGCTCCAGCTGAGAGGAAGAGAGAGCTCGGTGACATAACTCGCGGACAGAGTCAATGTCAGTGTCGGCGATCGTGACATTGGAGCGCGGATCGACTTGCTTCGGAACGGGAACACGATTTATTCAATGAACATGCCGGTCATTTAGCATATCGATACAATGGAGGAACGTTGTCGAGCGTTTAGTGTTTACTTAGCGCCTCGCAGCAATGTTTGTTTAACAATGTACTCGGAAGTTGAATGGGGAATGTTTGACCGAAGAAGCAAACGCGGCGAACCTCGCGCGGAACGCTCGACAAAGTTCCCCCGTGTCGTATCTCATTCCCGTTCACGCGGTGCGCCGCGCCGGTTTCACGCTCGTCAAAGTTGTTGCTCTGTTCGCTGCAATCGCGCGGTTTCCGCGGAACGAAACCCTTTTATTACTCAAGGATTGTAAAACATCATCCACGAACGCGTTGAAATATTTACCGCCGCGCGGATCGAAGAAGAACACGTTCAAGAGGAGGCGGACGTTTAGCGCCAGTTCAACGCGCGCGTCATGGATCATCTTTTTTATCGCGCGAGACTCGCTTCCATGCGAACGGCCCGCACGATTTGGGCGGACCGGCTTTCCCCGTTGAATGAAACATTTCGCGCAACGAAGGTTCGGTCCCCCTTCACCAGCGGGGCCCGTTCTTTGAATACAAATCGTCGTTATCCCGCGTGCACCGCGCGACGTTCCCGATTCGCCGGGGATCGCGCGAAAAACAGGAGGATACGGTTCGCGGCTCGCATTCCCAACAGCCTTGTCGGAAGACGAAGTGCTCCGGAATTGACGGACAAAATCCCGATTGTAATTTTTGCCCGGGGACATTCCCGGGTCCAGAAGTGACCTGGGCGCGTCGGCATTCTTCGAATGCTCTCACAGAGTGATACGTACTACCATTGTCTCGCGCGACGCGACGCTTCGATGTCGACGCGAGGTTTTCGTTAACACGTCGACTGCCACGGTGGTCACCGATGGCCGAACCTTAACTTCGGACTTAACCAAGACCTGACCAAATTGTTTAAATGCATTTGCAATAAGAAAACTGATGTCAGTAAAAATATTTGGTAACACAAATAACTAGATGATAGTGTAAGTACTGTGGTATCGAATCATTAATAATTAGTTGTAATACTATTCGCCTTTGTTATAAGAGAATTATACATTGCTGTACAGAACGTTCGAAATCCTCGTGGCAGTCAACGTGTTAACCGTGAAACTGAATTGTCCGTTCGACTCGCTTCGAGGTCGATGGAGACGGGCAACGGAGTAACGCCATCAAAGTTTCTTCCGAATGGAAGTGGCGGGTAATGAAACTGACGCAGTCAGCCATACGCGAGGCTCGATCTCCTCGGGAACGAATCTTCGTTTGGACAAACATCGTTCGAAGGCTGTTGATTAGTTTATTTATTTCACAAGGGGAATCGTTCGGCTGCGCGGGATCGCGTCGAGTTTCCTTCGTCTACGGACGTTTATCGTAATCGATCTCCGTTGACCTTCGTCGAATACAATTTACTAGAAATCCCTGCGATTATCAAGCAGCCAGAGGGAAATGATGCACGGCTGGTCCGAGTGCTAATTTACCACTAGCGGCGGATCGTCGTTAATTTATGGGCGTTCCGCGAGAGACCACCGGCGATTGCTGAACGCGAATATGTACCCGGCGAGATGAGTGGCCGAAATGCAACGTAAACAGTCGGAGAGCCTCGGGCGAAGGCTGCAGGAGTAACGACGTGTCGTTAAAGGAGTAACACGACTTATTTAGAAGCACGGACAGGCTACCATCGACTGTCAGCTAATAGAGCCCAGAAACCCCAAAGAAGCCTCGAGACGTTCCGAGGACGGACAGCGTTTCGTATTTCGGTAATAGCTACTTGGAACCACGCAGAAAAACGGTAACGACCTGCTAGGAAGCGAAGAACACCGGCGACCGGCCGGAGAACGAGACGTCTTTTCGAATATTTGTGTTTAATGTTCTCCAGAGGAATTGGAGGGTGCCCCGTGCTCGAGGAACCGAGCAGCAGCGTTCAAATCGCCGCACATTAACGGTTCTACGAGAAATTTCGGCTTCGATCGATTCGATTAATGCCCGTAAACTCGGTTCAACGTCCCGAGGAGCCGAAGAACCGCTGATCGGGACCGACGGGACCTGTTTGTCATCTCTAAAATTATGTTAATGGTCCGTTCCGTAGGCCGTGCCGACTCGATTCGACCGTAACGCGACTAGCGTGTCCGAGGATTATCGCCTCGTCCTCGATTATCCTCCGTCCGGTTGCCGTTTGTTCGTTGTTTTCTAGAAACCACGGTCCCTCTAATGAAGCGCGCCGCGTAACTGTACGCTCGAAACGCGTGGCCTCGAATTAAAATCAATTGTCCGGCGCGTGCCTCGGGAAATCGGAATTGTACAGTTAATCCGTATCGACCTTGCAGATGATGCAGCACGGGGAGATCGAGTGCGGCACGAAAAGCCAAGCTATCGCCGCCAGCCCGCTTTGCAGACGGGAACAGAGAAAAACCCGACGACGACTTCGCGTGGAAGTTGAAGTTGATCGATCCTCCGGTCCCAGCGCGGGCAGGATGCGAGAACCGAGCGCGTCCTTGGGGATCTCGGAATGGCCAGCTCCATCGAACCAGTTCTCGATCAAACGACGACGCTTCGTCGAAACTATAAAGATGACTCGGAACCGAAGATTCCTCTCGTAGAACGAGCGGCGCGCGATGCAGCCTCCAGCTGCACTCGTTCGCGCTGGAAAACCCGATAAGACAAGAACGACCGAGACTGGGATACGCGCAGCTGGAATCCGAAGCGCGCGAAAACGAAAGTGCCCGGTCGGCTCGAACGATCGCTCCGGTTCACGTCTACCGTGATGCGTGCGAAATCACGGTGCAGCTAATCGACGAGCGGAGATATGAGTCGCTTAGAAACCAATGTAGTTGAGCACAAAAAAGGGAAATCGAGGAAATTAATGTTTGAGCTGTTGAAGTTATTACAATATATTCAGAGGCTAGAAAATGAAGGCTTCTTGACCTAGAAACAAGGCAGGGACGAGTAAATATTTGATAACTAAAAGGAACATTATTTAGTACTCTATAGAAAATATCAAACAACCGACTTAACCACATTGGCTTAAGGATTCTTATCTCAGCAGTCTCGCGATCCGGTGCAGTGAACCGGGGTCGTTGCGATGCGCACTCGGCATGCTCGTTACAATAAGTGCAGCCTTGCCGCTGAAAGTCGCAAGGCCGTTTCTTCTCCCACTCGGGCCCACTTTTCCCTTCTCTTTCATATTCCCCGTGACGCGCAATGCCATGGGAATCACGGCTGCATCGAACCGCGTTG